GAATCGGAATTAAAACCAGACCCAGAGTCTCCGTCAGAACCGGACTTGTACCCTCCCCTTCCTGATCCCAACTCAGACGGTTCAGACAGTTTGGCTCGTCGGCAGATGTGAACCAGCCTCAGTGATGGTCAACTGCGACAGCTGCTGAGGAAATTAGAAGTATTAGAGACAAAAGAAACCTCCGAACCTTCTGCCCCACCCTCCTACAATCCAGTAGTAAAGAAAGGGGAGTGGGAGGGGGGTGTTGGGCACAAGGGCAGGGGAGTCTGGTAATAACCCTGCTAAAGGTTGGTGTGGGATGATCAAAGATGCAATTGTTATGGGGGAATTTTCGGCTATGGGTCCCACCGCATTCCCGGTGTTTAACACTCCACAGGGGAGAAAGGAGTGGGAGGCACTGGATTTAAAGGTAGGAAAGGAGGCGCGTCAACCGGTAACATCCTACGGGTTAAAATCATCATATACTCAGGCAATTACTGCACATATTTTTTCTGCATATATCTTAGCACCATATGATATCCCGGGCACACTGTGATGGACTGTGGACTTATGACCCCATATACAACTCATTTAATACATTCTCTCTGTGATACTCATGTGCTAGAAGTTGGTAAAAATAAGGATGTCCAGGTTTCTATCGACCTTTGGTGACCTGTATAAATACTGCAGGCTACTTCTTGCAACATAGGCTGGCCACCTCTGTCAGAATGAGTGTGCATTTTGGTCAGTATAAAAGCCCAAGACTCATGCGATGTGGGGGAGGCAGAGCCTCTGCGGGGACGCCCGCTAAGGCTGAGCCTGCCACCTCGCACTGCGATGATGCTTCTTGTAGCTGGTTTCTTGTTAGTCTCCACAGAGTCCTTGTGCTACGTTCTGTATGTGGGATTGTGTATTGGAAGTAATGATTGTTGGGATTTTGTGCTTCAAATACTGTAGTTGTGTGGAGTGTGCTTGTGGGATCCCATACGTGTGTGTGTGTGTGTGTGTGTGTGTGTGTGTGTGTGTTGAGGGCAGACGGTGTTCTCTGTATTTTTTTCTTGTTGGGTTCATGTAAAAGTTTTTAACGGGTAGCAGTTTAACATTTCAGGCAAGAAAGGGTTAATGCAAAAGTGCGGTTGCTGGCAGATATTTATGGTTGCTGCTGAAGCAGGCAGGCAGCTGTAGCTGCTGCAAAGAAGGCCCGCGTTTGTAGCCGTGCACAGCAGGGTGAGCGACTTCGGAGAAAAAAAAAAAAAAGAAAAAGTTATTTGATAAGAGTTCGGTCCCCATGTTCAAAAGAAGCTGCCCTCCGATTCGGCTCCCGATGCTCCACCGGTGGAAGGACCAGGATGGACACCAGATCCGAGGAGTGAAAAAACAAAACAAAACCAAACCAAGCTTAATATGTTTAGAGTAACCTGGGGATGAATCCAAGACTTGGAGGAACAGATAGATTGGTTGAAACAAGAACTGCTAACTGAAAAAGTGAGAGGGGTAGTGCAACCACAAGCTTTGTGAGCCATCACCTAAGCAGCATGAGGGTGGCAGAGAAATAAAAGAAAAAAAAAAAAAGGCAATGATGCAGCAAACTCCTCGTTTAACCTGACTACTTCTCAAGAAATGATAACCTGGAGGAGGGGGTGTATTTGTGTCCTCCTGCCTACAGGTCCATGGCGACTGCCTGCAAAGTTTGTTAAGCCTTACCATGAGCTGGACAGATGAATGGAGGAACCTGATGCTTCAGCTACAGGAGCTGACCGTGAATACCCCAAGCAGAATGAGATAGAGGAAGAGAAAAACCAATGATTGCTAAACGTCATTTGAGGGCAACTGAAATGTTACAGCTTGAATATGTGTGTTTGTAAAGTAGCTATTGCTAAAGGCTTTGATATTGTGTATGAAACCACCTGTATTTACTAGCCAGTTGCTGATAAGAAACTACACCTTGTATTATATGGATTTGTCACTTGTAAAAGAGATGTTAGAGTATGCAAATTTGTAGTAGCTGCTAGAAAATGCTAAAGCAAAAGATAGGAATATTCTAATACAATGGTAGTGTTATAAAGCAGGTAATGGAGCAAATTAAGAGGGTGGGAGAATTCCACTGGTAAGAAATTTCTTTGGCTAGTCCCTTGCTGGCATCAGCATCTTCAACATGCTGCTGCACCCTGTAATAGTTACTCTGCTAATGTAAATCTGTGTGTGTGCCTTGCCATAATAACAACTTGTTATTGGATGAAGCAGGTGAAACTCTGCATTGACAACAAGGTGGAAGGACTGAGGCTGACCAAATGCCTGCTACCACAATCAAGGGCAAGACTGGGTTGGCCTCTGTGTTTGTCACCAAGAAGAACCTTTAGCTCTGCTGCTGGCTGCAACCCAGCAGGCATGGAGCGGTGGGGACACATGCCATGCCAGACCTTGATGTGAAGGATGGCCTCCCCTGTTACCAGAGAGCCATACAGCAGAAAAAAAGAGCAGTCCTAGCAGCCTGTAGTTGGCATATGTTGAAAATATGATCTAGCCCAAATCCCCTGCTCAAGTAGGGTCATCCAAAAGATACATAAAACAAAAAGGGGGAGATGTGGAGACAGTGTTATCACGGAAGAATGGATAATTGGTGCAAAAACTGAATAATCCTGACAGATACAGCAAGGCCGTGAGAGGCCCAAGGTACCTTAAGCAAGCAAGATAAGAAGCAGCTGTAATTCACTGAGTTAATGAGAACTGTGGACTGTTGGCAAGCTTTAAAGGTCAAGTTCTCACACCTGTGCTTAACCAATTAGGTGTTAATTACTAAGGGTCTTCAAGACATGTATACAATCATAATACCCAAATCACTGTAAGTGCCTGTAAGAAATGGTATATAAGGAGTTAAAGCTTTGTAATAAATTGGCATTTGCCGATCACATTGATTGTTCCTGCATTGTCTGTGACTCCCGCGTTGACAATTTGTCAACAGACATAAGAAAAAAAAAGAGAAGAATGAGGACTCACATAACATTCTTTTTCCTAATGTGCTTGAGAAGGTCACAGCTTCCTTTGGTTAGTTCTGGTGTGTCTAGGCACAGCAACATATGGTAAGACTGAGTTTTTTCATTAACTTAGAATGACATTATTTTAAGTGCCCAGTAGCACAAACCACTAAATTTGTGTGTGGACCTATGCAAACAATGAATCTGGCCACACACAGTAAAAACCAAGCTTCTAAAACTTCAAAATCAGATGAGGGAATTCTCTCCTCAAGAGCCAGAGATCCCAGACAGTAGCCACTAGTGAACCTCACAGCCACTTTCAAAACTATAAAAGGCTTCACATAAAGACAAAATAAAGCTGCAAAAGTGGCTGCAGGAGATAACTAGGAGTGGCTGCTCTTCTGGATTCACTGATTTTGAGAAATAAATCCCTACAGCTGCTTTTAAAAGCTTTGAAAGTTTCATTTCAATTATCAAAATCAACAAAGCTTCAAAAACAGCCATAGGGATTTGTTCCTCAGAGGAGCAAACCCCAAAAGGCGGCGATGAATGGAGTGATGGGTTCTGTGGCTCTTAAAGTATGTACAGGTTCCTGTAAATCCTGCACTTGTAATTAGAGCTTCATGTTGTACAGCAATTGTTACACCCAGGAGGTTCATTAAGGCTTATATGGCAAATTTTTTACTGATTTCCTCTTCTTTTTAATAGTTTTATGTGTGCATCCTTTTATGTTTCCTTACACCGGCATTATCTATTGTGTGAGCATTCCCCACAACAGTTACTCAGATTTAACTGAAACCTTGCTGGCTTCCTATCTCAGGTGGTGGTGAACCATCTCACAAAATGCTGCACGTATGCTTTCCCAGACAGCATCACATAATGCCATCATCACAAAGTGATAACTACAGCATGCAAAATAATTTATTTCTCTGACTGAGAGCTTAAAAGGGCACTAGTTAAAATACAAGAGCGAAGCTTGACAATAAGTCAATGAAGAACTTTACCTGCAACTGCTATATAAAAAAGGCTTCCATTAATTCAGTGAACACAAATAACATTTCAGAAGTAACCACATGACTTAAAAACCCAACTGTACCTATTTGTAACAGGATTTTTGTTCAATCTCTAAAATTACAGAACTAGATCCCTAAAAATTTGACAGATTTCACTAGTGATATAAGTATAGTTCTAAAAGAACAATTCACACCCCTAAATACTTTGAGCTTAATATCTGAAGACACTGATAGTTCTAAAAATATTACCAAAATTATGTTGAAAAAGATACATTTAGGTAGTAGAACATATATAGAATATTAAGAATGTCATAAAATACATTCTGAGGATACTTACAAACCCTAAAACATCACTAATACTGATGAGTTATTTTTTCCACTAAAGTTTTAAACTTCTGTTTTCAAATGGCAGAATAAATAAATATACTTTATCACCAGGACAAATAAATACACCATTTTGGAAAAAAATGCTATGAGAAAATCACTATGAACTTAAGTAGATGAAGGTGTTAGGAACTGAGTAACTGATTTGCATGGGAAAAGAAAATCTTGACAGATAAATTCAACATTCTGTTAAATGTTATTCAGAGGTCACTCTGTGACCTATACTACTTAGAATCATAGAATCATAGAATAGTTAGGGTTGGAAAGGACCTTAAGATCATCAAGTTCCAACCCCCCTGCCATGGGCAGGGACACCTCGCTCTAAACCATATCACCCAAGGACTCGTCCAACCTGGCCTTGAACACTGCCAGGGATGGAGCATTCACAACCTCCTGAGCAACCTATTCCAGTGCCTCACCACCCTAACAGGAAAGAATTTCCTCCTTATATCCAATCTAAACTTCCCCTGTTTAAGTTTTAACCCATTACCCCTTGTCCTACCACTACAGTCCCTAACGAAGAGTCCATCCCCAGCATCCCTATATGCCCCCTTCAGATACTGGAAGGCTGCTATGAGGTCTCCACTCAGCCTTCTATTTTCCAGGCTGAACTTACTTTACCTCTCTCTTCCAGTCTTCTCATGTGTAAAACATGAAGGAGGATTGTGAGAGAAATAATGTTTGCAAAGAGCTTTGAGATCCTTGAACACAAAAAGCACAGGGAAAGCTTGAAGTTTAAAAGCACCAGTATACTATTTTTTTGCAACTTGATATAACTAAATTGTGGGAATACAGGCAGTCGAAGACGTGAGGGACGTAACCAGACTAAGTAACTTTTATTACAAAAACCGTGAAAGTTTAGTAATACAAGATCATGTAATAAAATGCTTTAAAAACAATCTCAAGTGCTAAGCATATTCCATTACTCCAAAGGAAACACTATCAAAAGGAAAGGACATGGTTCTCACCCATTTCAAGTATGCGTTTATGTAGAGGCATGGCAGCAAGAAAGGGTTCATCTTTACAAGACTGTATCTGGGTTCCAACCAAGTCAGAGTTGGTAGCCATAATGCAGGCACTTTCTTCATTAAGATTAACACCAGCCACAGAGACAACATCATTGACATCATCATCATCTCTATAATAACAAAACAAGCAAAAAAATAATTCTGCATGTGGTATATTTATTTTGTATATTATCTGCTTCTCAAGAAGTCATTGTCATTGCAATATACCTGGTGGCTGGGCCAACTTGAGGCACAACCACCACGTTCACAATTTTCATAGAATATATTCTAAATTCAGAAATAACTAAATATTTCTTTGAACACATTTGAACAACTTTAGAAGCAGGACAATTTGTCTGTACCAGAAGGTATGACAGAGGTGTCCTTTCTTCATCTGAGAATCAATGATATTAATGAAACAAGGATGGTCAGGCAATGATCACCACTAAAGACAGAGAGCATTTGGCTATTCTCTTTATGCTGAAAACTAGGAGCAAAATTATAAAATAAATAAAAAGACCATAGACATTTGTCCTGGGTTTAGCAGTAGCAGTCATTTTTCTCTTTCTTGGTAGCTGGTGCAGTGCTGTGTTTTGACTTTCGGGCTGGGAACAGAGCTGAAAACAATGTTTTGGTTTGTCCAAGGACTTTGTGATCCTCATGCTCTGCCAGGGAGGAGGGAAGCTGGGAGAAAGCAGAGACAGGACACCTGACCCAAACTGACCAAAGAAGTATTCCATACCACAGCACGTCATGCCCAGGAGGTAACTGGGAGTCACCCTGGAAGGACAGATGGTCTGCTGGGTCGGACTCGTTGTTTGGCGGGTGGTATTGTACTCTTTTTTCTTGCTATTATCTCTTATCATTGTTGTTGTTGGTGGTGGTAGCAATGGTGATTTATATTGTACACTGATTGCTGGACTGTTATTATCTCAGCCCGTGGGAGTTGCATTCTTTCGATTCTCCTCCCCATCCCTCCGGGAGCGGGGAAGGGAGGGAGCCCCTGGGGAGGGGGGGGACGGGACGTGGGCCTCGGTTGCTTCCAGCCTGGCACCACTCACTGGGAGTGAGTGCACAAGCTGTCTGGCTGGGTTTAAACCATGACAACATTAAAAGCAAAAACATGAATTTGGAATCCTGCACTGTTTCACAAGTTCCTATCAAAATGGGCACCAAAGTATTTTCAGCAATAGTCAGGAAAGATTCTTTGACCATGTAAGTCATAGGTAAGTTTAGGTTCCAAGTGTGGTTTGAATACGCACGGGTATTTTTCTATGGCAACATACAAAAATCAGCTGAATATGTCAAGTAGTTTTAGAAAAATGAGCTGCATTTGAGAAGATCCTAAGGTCCTTTCCAACCCTAACTATTCTGATAAGATGATAGCAGCACTTCACTTATTTGCTCTTCAGTACCATTCCTAACAGCTTGAGGAAGTACTGACTAAAAAATCTGAGTTTCCACACCTGTATTTCCCAAGCATCTTTTACTTCTATGAGGTATGAGTCATAACTGTGGAAACAACCATCTGTTTTTGGTACATTTTGTTTAGGAGCTGTTACTGACAAGAACACTGTATTTCAGCATATTCTAGGAGTTATTAGACAACTTTTGAGAATATATATATGGAAAAGATTCACGTACATCCAAGTCCAGACTCCAACTACTGCATAAAGCAAACAAATAAAAACTTAATTTGAAAGATTTAAGAAAAAAATAAAAAATTACATAGATGTCATCCTAAAATACTTTCTGTCACTTGTAACAAGTTTAATGCCTACAGTAAAAAACAAAAGCTACAAGTAAGGTCTGAGGACAAAAGGAGATAAATCTAGAAATCCATTATCTAAGTCCTCCCTGTCCTCCTATACTCTCCTTGATATCCGCACTACAGCAGCAAATTTTGGTGGAAGACTTCTTTGGTTTGTTAGATACTGCTTTTTTCAAGAAGGGATTTTTGCTGGTATAAACCTAGATAAATGTGCTGAACACTTGAGGCAGAAAATGGAAAATTTTACAATGATTGTCAGAAAAATGCTACACAAATGAGCTTTTATTACTTCCCATGAGTGCTAAGCACTTGATCTCTAAGAATGAAATTCCTGAGGACAATGTCACAAAACTGATCTCCCACCTTGATAGTTCTCAAATGATAGATATAAGATATTTTAATCATAGTTGGGACTACAATTTTTTCAGTCTAAAGGGGAAAACTATCAAAATGTGGTTTTTTGACCTTGAGGAACTTCATGAATAAGAGCTTGGATTTGGATACTGAAACACACACATATATTAAGAGGGCTGGCATTCTCACAAAACTATTATTTCCTATGAAAGTCAACTTTTAAGTCCAGAGGGAGTTTTCAGAATTCATTCTGTGGAACAAAGAGGCCATCCAGTGGTCATCTAGATTGATAATTACTGTCTATCTTTCCCTTTTCATCCCAGAACAGTATTTAACTATTTCATATTTCTTGGTGTATATTACTGTGCTCATACCAATTATATTATTTCAGTAATTATTTCTGGGTTTTACTGGATTAAATTCCAAGTCTTATGGGATAAATCTAACATTCCAACATACATGCTATTTTTAAGAAGGTAGCATGGTTTCTCAAATTCTTTCAAAAAGCAAGCTACATCTTAAAATAGTCTGAGTTCAGCTCTCTCCTACATTCAACCTCTTGTAACACCTCCCCTCTCTTCTTCATTAAAAAGATTTTTGCAATTACAAAAAATAATCTTATCTGAAAATAAGAAAGAAAAATCAAAGTATTTGCACAGTTGCCCATAACACATAAAGAATTGTTCTGTCCACTTCTTGCCTTGTTGTACATGTAATGACACTGAGCCTTACTCAATACAGTTAGGAAGTAGTAGGATAATACAAGAGTACAAACATGTATCTCCATCCTTGGAGATATGTAGATTGGACCAGTCCCAGATCTAACCAAACCTGCTCTGAGTTAGAAGTTTGTCTAGTTGACCTCCCAAGGTCCCTTCCAACTGAAATTATTTTGACTCAGTATCAAGGAGAACAAATGTTTCCACTAGTTCTTTATATTTGCCACAGTCTGAACTATGGCTACTAATTACTTTGACAGTTTGCTACTTTCACTGTCATCAATGGTAGATTATGTTAGTATGTTCATCTCTCTTGACTACAGAAACCTCTAGCTGATTATTATGGTGCAAGTGCAAGTCTGGATGTCTACTGTAAAACAAACAATTATAAGAAACAGAATTCAAATTTCCATCATTAGGTATTAACACAGTTGAAAAGTCAACTAGATGGAGTTATCTGTAGTTCTCTCTGAAAAAATTAGCAACAATAAAGTTTAATACCGAAAAGGTAACAAAATTTCATCAATACAACTTTCTTACAGAAGTTCTCAGTTGAAAACTTTGAATTATAGAACAGCTACTATAATATCCATATAAGAGTTCATTAATAAACGCTGACATTAAAGGCTAAGCTGTAATTTGCAAAATTCCTCATTGCTACATCTTTTATGTAATTCTTTCTTCTATTTTCCACAGTCCATAATAGAGGAAACTGAAAATCAAGTTTACATTTCCATTTCTAGTGACCAACATTTTGCTCACAAAACTTAAAAGCACAAGTAAGCTATTTTTAAAAAAGCAGAATATAAAATAATGAAACAAATAATAAAACACTAGGGTCAAAAAAATTTATACATAACTATTTTTCAAAAATCTTGCTTTGCTTCAGATGCCAGTTTGCCTTCTGGCTAAAAAACACATTCTTCACACACACACTGGGAATGTTGAGGAAAAATTAGTCATCAGAGGATTAATACAGATTTCCAGCTCTGTGCTTTTAGGCTTACTAGTCAGACATCTATTTGTCCTCGGGAGAGGTTAGGGGTTGAAATGCAAATATGCAAACAACTGAGTTCTTTGTTAGAATATCAAGGAAAAGCTTTATCTTTGCTGTTTTTTAATAAATCCTTGCAATGTTATGGACTTATTTAAATGCAGCTTTGTGTCTTACTATTTTGAAGGAGAAAACGATGAAAGGAAATAAGAACATTCATTCTGACTAAAATTTGTTCTCTAGAGGAAAAATGACATAAACCCTTGACAGCTTATTTACCCAACTCACTAAAGATTTACTGATTTATGAATCAGTGCCTTAAGCATTTGCTTCTCCCCAAGGGAAAATTAGCAATTCCAGCTAACTTAATATATTCTATGTATAAACTAAGTGAATGCAAGAATCAATCCTGGCACAGTTTACAACATCCAGTTAAAAAAATGTTGTCCCTTTTGGTGTATGTAAAATTGAAAGCTATACTAACAAAGAATAAATGTTCGTGTTGCTTGCAAACATAAAAAATACTTATTAAGACAGTACAACTGAACCCAACAGACATTTTAAATCATTTAAATACTCAGTGGAAGGCAAAAGCATTGGAAAATAAGAAAATTAATTATTTTGCTTCTAGATTAATACCAAGTACTACCAGTATTAGTTGCAATACTGACATGCCTCAAAGCAGAGATATTTCAAAGAGCTACAAATTCTCTTCTACTTTACCTGCAAAAGCATAAGCCTGAAACTTAATTACTAGTTTGATGATGTTGGAGCAATATAAGACATCTGGAATATGAAAATCTAGGAATATTTTGCCATTTAGCAAAGACAAAAATGTTTAAACACAAATAAAATGTACTTTCATCAATGGAAAAAAAAATTATGGTAGTGTAAGCAAAATGCAGTAAACAAGATTAGTTTTTCACTACAAAAATTAAAAATATCAAAATACATATTAAAAAAAAAGTTTGAAGTACAAAAGAACTGGTGTAGCATCAATGCTACTGTGTTGAACCTTTGCAACACCTACTTAGTACAGGGACCCACAGAATGCTCCAATCTCTGATACCAAAGGATAAGCATGCGAAAAATATATAGAGATGTCTTCTCTTTAAAATCAAGAACAACAATCCTATACACAGACAAACAAACACAAAAAAACAACCCCAAAACCCATTACCAAAACCATACAGCATTTTCTCTATGCTGATGCTGCAGCTTAGCTGAAGAAGCCTATCGACAGGATGCCTTCTCATCACACTCAGTACCTTCTCAGCAAGATACGATTCACATGAATGTTAGAATCTGATAACATGAAACCAACCATGTATTTTTAAAAAACTTCATACACATGATTCAATTCACCGTAAGTTTTATTATAACCCACAGAATTGAAGGCTTTACTAAACATTTAAAAGTGCTTTTAGGGAAAAATCCTTCAGACATGTCATGACCCCCTCCTCCCTATTTTTAAAATAGAACTAAGTAAGAAAATTGTCACCCAATCACCATAAGATAAGGTAGGAATTATTGTAAAACATTGCCCTCTGGTGCTAAGACAATTCTAAATTCTATTTTGTATTTAAGATCCCCCACCCCCAAGCACCCCCCTGCATGTTTTTTTCTTCTTTTTTTTCCTTTTTTTTTTTACCTGAAAGAACCACCTCCAGGGTCATTCAGCTTGTTTTTCTGATTTGCAGAGACCTGAACACAAAAGCCGCCAGGACTTTTGCTGGCTTGTATTGTTGGTGCCTTCCCTAGTGTGCCTGAAAAACACCAAGCAATGTTATTATGAGAAGTCTTAGACAATTTACATCAAAGAACCTCCTGTCCAGAAACTACATTTAACTGTAAATTGAAAACAAAGGAAGTTATTCTTTTTAAAGATTACACTGCTGAAGAACAATTTCAAATACAAAATTTATATTAATATTACATTTTGTTCAATATTTACAGGATACTGAAGATTCCAAAACTGAAAACTATTTGCAATAATTGGTTATAAAACACATAATGGCTACAAGTGTGTTTGCAATTGCCAGTAAACCACTTTTCTAGATAATCTGCACAGAATAAACAGAATTTGAAATGGTCTTGATACAGACACTGTAAGTCACAGTCACTCAGGGTACTAACTATGCCTTTTATATTTTTTATATAGTCATTGTTCTTTGTTGCGGTGAAAAAATGTATTTTCAGAGTTGAAAACATTATTTTAAATATTTTAGTGCTTTATATTGTATGCAAAAGAAAAAATACTATTGTAAAATTTGACATCCCCATCATAAAGGTCATCTTTTACTTTCTTATTTTGAAAACAATGATTTTAAAGTTGTTCATATCTCTATTCAGGCTTTACAGGTCTATGTGTAGAAGTAAAACTGGGCTTTCTAAATGAGCCAGTGTGGTGGACCATTCAGCTCCTCGTGACAGTAAATTAAAAAAAAAAATGTATTAATTCCTCCTCTGACATTTGGCAATATCTAACAAAAATAACTGCAAATTTATGTTGCTAATTAGAAAAAATAACAGACCTGCATTATTACTATTAAAAATATTTCATCAGTGTACAACTGAAAAAGCACTAACAAATGAAACTTTTGGAGTAAGCCCTCCTTTACCGCTTAAACACATGTTTACTTGGGTTATATTTTGTGTTTTCTTTAATCACACCTGTGATTTGGCATGTGAAAATAATTAATGTCTACTTCACTTAAAAGATCTCACCTCTTCTTTTCAATTTTATTGAGCTTACATACACATAGTGCTTAAGACTTTGAGAAGCACAAGTCACACATCTGTGACTCAACTGCATATAAATGACATTGTATGAACCTTAGTAATTACATTATTTTTCTTTCATGAATTATAAAACCCTGAAATGTAATTATCTAAACAAATCCTTGTGAAAACAGTTCTTTGCTAAAAAAAAATGTTAGCTTTGAATGAATCCAGCATTACTTTTTTTATTTTGAAGTCTTCATCAACTTTAACATATGATCATAAAGCAAAACTGATTTGAGTGTTTGTTCAGTTCTTCAATCTGGATAAATAAACTGTTGTGTTGACTCTCAACATGAGCAAATACAAAACCCAATTTAGGACTTCGGGCTCCAAGCCTGGGGAACAAAAATATTTTGTCATCAAAATATTCAGGGTCCATGAGATGTCACAGATAACATTAGTTCACAGACCAAACACTTCATTTATCTACTAACACGAACTAATTGAAAGGTATGTGAAAAGTACTAAGTGAACTGGAAGGAAAGAATCAACAGAATATTAAAAATTAGCAGATCTCTGCTTTCTACAATTAACATCTAGAAGATTAAGGTAACAGTGGCACTCCTCCAGAATTAATATTATATTCCTTTAGAACTAGTATCAACAGTTTGTTTCCTACAGATGATATGATAAATTTTGGTAAAAAGTGCCCAAAAGGTACAGCAATAGATAAGTTAAATTCTTGGTCTCAGGAAAAGAGTATGTCTACACTGGAAATAGTGTCTCACTTTCTTTCACCCCATGTATATGTAATATACTCAAATGGGTCTGGCAAAGTAAATATAAGTTTTAGGTTGACATAGAAGTTTTCTGGTTTAAATCACAAATCACCTGTGGGCTTAGATATTTCATGTGATTGGTAATGACATACAGAGTCTTTCACCACTGCATCCTTGTTTCAAACTTTAAGTAGAATGATCTAGAGAAATAAGCCCAAATTTATGAGCTTAGTTGTATTTCTGTGCAAGTTAAATAGCTGCAATGAATATGGCTTAATTCCCCCATCCATAAGATGCAATTCACCTAATTATTATACTGATAAGTAATTTGATAAAGGAGTGTGAAATTTTTATGCCATCACTATAGTGTTAATTTCCCTGGTGTGGAAGTAATTTTATTAATATCAAAGTCCTTAAATCCTGCCTACTTTATCTATACTACTATTTTAAAAAGCATTATAGTCTGTTCACATGGATGCATTAATATACAATACACTAGCAGATTCACTCCAATTTGAGAAGGAAAATGCATCGCTCAGTGGAAGTTAGCTCAGTTCTGATGTAACTAGTCTTAAAAAAAACCCCAAAATAAAAAACAAAATGAAACAAAAACCACAACCAAAACACCCAACAAAAAAACACTCCAAACTCCACCAAATTACACTACTTCAGTTTTCTATACAGACCCCATCCTATTACAGCATTTTACTTCCTTCTAGAGGAATACCTAGGCCAGTATAAAATATCATTATACCGCTGTTTACCATAGAAAGTTTGAACAATACATCAAGATCAAAATAATCTGGTATCTGAAAGTATGCTATAGTGGCATTTCTTAAAGCTGCAAGCACACAGGCAGATATTTTGCCAGACATGGGGTGCAGGATGAGCAGTTTTACAATGGGATGTTTTGTAAATTTCTGTGTAATTAAAAGAATACAGTGGTGGGCTTAAACAAGCTTGTAATTAGGAATAAGCTCACCTGAAAACAGGGCTTTGCATGAATTTACCTTTATGAACCACTGTCTTCCTTAAGCCAAACTGCCAGTTAAGTTGCATTTCATTGGCTGATCAATGGTTACCATTAATAAATTTGTATTGTGAAACCAGTGTTTAAAAAGCACATGCCCTTATCATGCAAATTCTCAGCACACTGTTGAGTTTCACAACTTAGGAGACTGAACAAGCAAAGAAATTAAATCAGCCTTCACTCTGAGAAACATTAGTCAGAAGTGGAAGTTCATTCCGTAAGATGTTGAATACCTTCCCTGTTAATAAACTCAGGATGTATCAGTGCTATCAAATATATACCTTTTATGGCATTTCTTCCCCTAACTTGGAAAAATAGCCTACAGGAATACAATGACAGCTTGGTCTCCATGTCCATTCAAACTTTGGATTCTCTGAAGCGAAGAGAGCGAGCAGAACATCAACTGCTGTTAACTGGTTTTGATGCTGTCTTTTTCCAAGGAGGACAGAAAATACCGAGCAGTAGGACCAAAAGATCAAATAGGCAGGAATAGATTTTATGTATGTTTAAACTAGTTAGATTTCTGATGAAATACTTAAAAATGACAAGCTCTGAATTCCATTACAAACCCTCAAGCATCTACATGCCCAAATCCAAAAAGATACACATAATCAGAAAAAATAAAAAAGAAGCCTAACAGGTCTAGTGGTGGAAAGAAACAAATGTGTTATTAGAAAGTAAGAATGCTTCAAGAACCCTCTTAGAAAGTAGGATGTATCAGCCAGGCATTAATCCAACTGTGCAAAGAGAGATGAGGAAGTTGTGTTCAAATCACACTTCTTGCTCCCCTAGCTAATCATGGCATGTCAGCTTGCTGCAGTTGGGGTTTAAGAAATTTCTTTAGGGTTCCTACCTTGACCTCTGTAGTTGCAGAGACAGTGACTATCATGTTCTGCTTCAGCAGTAAGAGTTAGAAGTAGGGTGATTAAACTGAGGCATCCTCTAGGCGTTTTTGGCCCAGACTTAAGAGCATAGGACAGCAAGAGACAAGATTCTGACTTGTATCAGAACCTTCCATAAAAAACTGCTGAGTAAGGACCTAAGCAAGTGAGTTCTGAAACATTTTGCTGTGTTGGTCTGAAATAGCTTGAAATGACATAGTAAAAACATGCATTCCACAGCCAGTATGAAGTAGAAAATAAATGTCAAGCTTTCCAATGTCAACACTAAGTTTTTCCCATGCTACTAGCTTGAAATTACAATGAAATTCATACAAAGGTAACAATCTTACTAAAACATTTAAACCCGTACCTTGTGGTCTAATGGTCTGAGTTATTACCACTGGCATCCTAATCTGGGTAGTCTGGCAAGCAGGGGTTCGTTTCACAGTTTGAGCAGAGGTTGACTGGATAATATGCTATTATTAAAAAAAAGTATATTATATTCTTTATACACACACACAACATAAACATACTAATACCTGTAATAACTAATATAAGCATCTAGATCTCCAAAAGCACAACCAGCTATTGACAAAAGTCATATTCATGTAATGCATATGGTTCTTATTCATGTAATGCATATGGTTCTGTGAGTGTGTACATACCTATTTTGTCATTATAAATTAAAAAAAAAACAACAAAACCTCATATTTGACATAAATGTTATGTCACAACCTTCATCAAAAATCTATTTCAAAGTACTAAGGCTAGCATTTAAGTTCAGACTTCTGTCTTCAAAAATTTTACTAGGAAGAAAAGCATTTCTGAGGAAGAAAAGCATTTTTTAAGAAGAAAATGCTGCAATAAGGTCATGGTTTAAGCCCAGCCGGCAACAAGAACCACACAGACGTTCACTCACCCCCCCCCTCTTCCTCCCCCCACTCCCAGAGGTATGAGGAGGAGAATCAAAAGAATGTAACTCCCACAGGTTGAGATAAGAACAGTCCAGCAACTAAGGTATAGCACAAACCACTACTGATACCACCAATAATAATAATGATAAGGGAAATAACAAGGGAAGAGACTACAAGAGCTCACAATCCACCGACCAATACCCACCCTGACCCGAGAAGCAATCTAGCCCTTCTGGGGAACTGCCCCACGGTTTATATATTGGGCATCACATGCTGTGGTATGGAATACCTCTTTGGTTAGTTTGGGTCAGGTGTCCTGTCTCTGCTTCCACCTGGCTTCCCCTCCTCTCTGGCAGAGCATAAGACTCAGAAAGTCCTTGGTCAGACTAAACATCACTTAGCAAAAATTAAAAACATAGGTGTTATCAGCTCTGTTCCCAGGATGAAAGTCAAAAGCATGGCACTGCAGCAGCTACTAAGGAGGAGAAAAATGACTGCTACTGCTGAACCCAGAACAGTATCCACCCCTTACTCCATACCATTCACATCATGCTAAGATCCCACATTTTTAATATACCATCACTCTTATCTCATACGTTTATATATATACATATACATACACACACACACACAAAGATATCATTCCTTAGTGCATGGATCAGTCCCTATAAAGCTGCTGAGTCCATCCGGTCCGTGATGTCAGGCCCCATCTCTTGTAACAGTCTTTCAGAGAAGGAGAGACGATGTGCAGTGTTGGATCGTTGCCTGCTGATGATACCGCAGAACTCGTCTGGTTTAATCAAAGTTCATTCTTTGTTGGGAAGATGGTTAGAGGGAAGTGAGGGACACTTGCTGGTGACCTGAAGATATCTAGTTGGTGGGCTATAAAAGTGCTACATAGCAGGCAACAGCATACAATTGAGTTCATTGGCTGTTTTCCCCTAAAATCAAATCCCCTTGAGGTACACATCAAACTTCCCCATCTTCCCACATTACCCACCAAGTACATCTGGGTCCCTGAGCAAAAGCAATCCCACGAGTAGGTTTGCCTTTACCTGAAGCAGGAATAACTCAGGCTGTCTTCCCCAGCAAATTCTTTATGTGCACCACAGGATTGGTGTCCCCTTCTAGTTCTGAATAAACTGAGCCAGCCCTGTTGGCAGATCCTCTGGTGCTGACCAACCAGGTGACTTTTGGTAAACGTGTATCCCAATGTTTGAAAGTCCCACCACCCATTGCTCTCAGTGTAGTTTTTAACAGCCTATTGTACTGTTTGATTTTCCCAGAGGCTGGAGCATGGTAGGGGATGTGATATAGCCACTCAATGCCATGCTCTTTGGCCCAAGTGTTCATAAGGCCGTCCCACTGTCTGACTCAGTTCTCTCTGGGGTGCCTTGTCACCACAAAATCTGTTTCTCAAGGCCCAGGACAGTGTTCCCGGCAGCGGCGTGGGGCACAGCATATTTTTCCAGTCATCCAGTGGTTGCCTCCACCATGGTAAGCACATGGCGCTTGCCTTGGTGGGTTGGTGGGAGTGTGAAAGAGTCAGTCTTCCAGGCCTCTTCATATTTATGCTTCAGCCATTGTCCTCCATACCAATGAGGCCTTAACCATTTAGCTTGCTTAATTGCAACACGTTTCACACTCATGAATAACCTGGTCAACAATGTCCATTGTTAAGTCCACCCCTTGATCAGGAGCCCATCTGTATATTGCATCTCTGCCCTGCTGGCCTGAAGTGTCATGGGCCCACCGGGCCAAAAACAATTAACCCTCATGCTGCAATCTAAGTCCATCTGAGCCACATCAGTCTTAGCAGCTTTATCCACTTGTTGGTTGTTCTGGTGTTCCTCAGAGGGCCGACCCCTGGGTACATGAGCATCTACATGGCATACCTTCACCACAAGGTTCTGTACCCAGGCAGCGATATCTTGCCACAGTGCAGCAGCCCACATGGGATTACCACTGCACTGCCAGTTGCTCTGCTTCCATTGCTGCAACCACCCCCACAGGGCATTTGCCACTATCCATGAGTCAGTATAGAGATAAAGTACTGGCCACTTTTCTCATTCAGCAGTTTCCAAGGCGAGCTGGTTGGCTTTCACCTCTCCAAACTGACTTGATTCACCCTGCACTTTCTGCAAGTTGTCAGAGACTCCATGAAACTGCCTTCCATCTCCGATGATTTCCCACAATACGGCAGGACCTATCAGGAAACAAGGCATATTGCTTTTCACTTTCGGACACTTTTTTATATGGTAGGGTCTCTTCAGCATGCATCACCTACTCCTCTGGTGACAGTTCAAAATCTTTGCCCTCTGGCCAGTCCAGGATGACTACAAAAATTCCTTGATGACTGGAATTTCTTACTCAAGCTTGTTGTGTAATTAGTGCAGCCCACTTACTCCATGTAGCATTGGTTGCATGATGTTTAGGGGAAACTCTTGCCTTTGAACATCCAGCCCAGCATGGGCAACCTGAGTGCCAAGAGGAGCTGTGCTTCACTGCCAATCACTTCTGAAGCAGGTCGAACCACTTCAGAGACTGCCAGTATCTGTTTTTCAGTTGGGGTTTAGCTGGCCTCGGATTCTCTGTATTGCCAACTCCAAAAAACGAGGAGACGACCTCGAGTTTCCCCTGGAGCTTTCTGTTAGAGGCTCCAGGTAGGACCATTCCCCCCAGCTGAGGTGTAGAGTACATTTTTACATCTGGATAGGTCTGGACTGGTCCAAGGGCTACTGCATGAACTATCTCTCATTTAAATTGTTCAAAGGCTTATTGTTGCTCATGGCCCCTTTTAAAATCATTCTTCTTCTGGGTCACATGATAGAGAGGTCTTACAATCAAACTGTAATTTGGGATGTGCATTCTCCAGAACCCCACAAAACCCAAGAAAGCTCATGTTTCTTTGTTATGAGTTGGTGGAGACATTGCTGTTATGTTATTGATCCCTTGACCTCACTCTGTTTTATGGCAAAACCAGCTTTCAGCAGAATTTGGATTATTTTCCTCCCTTTCTCAAAAACTTATCCCCCTGTATCATCCCACACAATAATGTCATCAATGTATTGCAGGCGTTCTGGATCTTTCCCCTGTTCCAGTGCAGTCTGGATCACTCCATGGCAGATGACAGGGCTGTGTTTCCACCCCTGGGCAGTCAGTTCTTAAGTGTACTGGACACCCCTCCAAGTAAAAGCAAACTGTGGCCTGCACTATGCTACCAAAGGAATTGAGAAGAATGTATTGGCAATATCATTTGTGGCATACCACTTGGCTGCCTTTGACTCCAGTTCCTATTGAAGTTCTAGCATGCCTGGTACCGCAGCACTCAATGGTGGTGTGACTTCAGTCAGGCCACGATAGTCTGCTGTTAGTCTCCACTCTCTCTTAGACTTTCACACTGGTCATATGAGGCCAATAAAGGGTGAGCATGTCCTACTGATCAATCCTTGGCTCTCCAGTCTATGGGTCAGCTTATGGATGAGAATCGGAGTCTTGACTGGCATGATATTGTCGCCGGTGCACTGTTGTGATAGCGACTGGCACTAGTTGTTTTTCGACATTCAGTAACCCCACAACAGAAGGATACTCTGAGAGACCAGGCAAGGGGGACAGCTGCTCCATTTCCTCTGTCTCCAGAGCAGCAATACTAAAAGCCCATTGGTACCCTTTTGGGTCATTGAAGTACCATCTCCTGAGGTAATCTATGCCAAGGATGCATGGAGCCTCTGGATTAGTCACAATGGGGTGCTTTTGCCATTCTCTCCCAGTCAGGCTGATTTCAGCCTCCAGTACTGTCAACTGTTGGGATTATCCTGTCACTACAGATATATAAAAATTGGTTCCACCCCTTGACAGCTTGATGGCATCAGGGTACACTGTGCACCGATATCTACTAGCACCTTATATTTCAGTGGGACTGATGTGTCGGGCCATCCGATCCACACAGTCCAGTAAATCAGATTGTCCCCTACCTCCACCTGGCTGGAGGCAGGGCTCCTCCAACAGTCATCCCATTGGTCACTTACGTCTTGTTGACAGGGTTTAGCCTTCTTTATCACAGGAGCTGAAGTAAAATCAGCTCTTCCACTCCATCTGGGAACCTGCTCACCAGAGACCGAAGTCGCAGCTTTCATGGGATGATCATCCTTGACCTTTGTTCTCCTCTTCAATTCACACACCCATTCCTCCAGAGCTGAGGTAGGTTTTCCATCCCACTTCCTCATGTCTTCTCCGTGATCGCACAGGTAAAACCATAGGGTGGCACATGGCGTATACCTCCTATATCTTCTCTCTCGAGCAGTACGATGCCTTCTGTTAATAGCTGAGATGTGGGTTGGTACATGTGGGGAACTGGATAGATCAGATAGATCATCTCTCAATTGTCTGAACTCCTGATACAGTTTTTCCACAGCTGAAATGAGGGAAGGGGTGAGATTGTCTTCGAAATCTTGGAGTTGATGAACCATTTCATCCACTGTTGGTGGTGCTACATCATGTCAGGTTATTGCTGCCAATGAGTGGGCATGTGATGAGGGTGCATTCCATGTAAATTTCAACCA